ATAGAGCATATATATATATATATACAGAGATTTTTCTGGGAAGTATCATAAACATCAAAAATGAAATGCTTCCGACTTTGACATAAGAAACTGAACTTCTGTTCCTTATAGAAATTTTTTCAATATAAAATCTGCAGTCATAGTAAATCTATTTAATAAAATCTAAAAAATTAGATGAAATACAAAATTTTGTGAATTAAGTATTTCAAGAAATTGCCATCCTTTCAAATGGAAAGAATTACTTGAAACTGAGGTGCACTCGCGGTAGTTTAAAAACGACTCTATTGTATCTGGTTATATGAATATTTAAAACTAATCTTTTAATTAAAGTAACACAAAAACATTTTTTTAGTTAAAACAGAATAATTTATTACGTTTGTTTCTGTAAAATGAGAGAGAAAAAATGAATTCCTTATTTACATTTTGATATTATGTAGATGAAAGAAAGAAACACCAAAAGGTAAAAAAAAAATATCTGAAGCTCTAAGAGTACGTGAAAACAAAAAATTATTATTTAACCGTAATCTGTCGTTATAAATAACATAGGGAATACATTTTTTGTTGAATTCATGCAAGTACTTGATCTTACCAAATTCGAGAGCGAAGATTATATCAGAAATTAATTTTGTTCAGAAAGGTACAGATTCTTTTCAAAATTATAGTTTTTGTTTTGTTATTTTTTTGTATATATGTATAATTTTATAAAGATCGTCTATTGACATACATATAAGTTTGTGTTTTTCTTTTGAAAATAACACTCAGGATAAACATTTGACCTTTACTTATAGCATCATAAAACAAAACAAAACAAAAATAATAATAATTGGTACTTGTACTTGTACAAAAAATGTACTTGTGTTAGAGTTACTAATTTTAGTACCTTTAAACCTATAAAAATGTTTAATGCACTCCTACTAAGGAAGTTTTTTTTCTGAAATATTTAAAATGAAGTTTAATGATTTAAAAGTTTGATTAAATTAATATTGAGAACCAAGACATTTAATAATTCAAGAGATTTGATAAGTACGTTTTGATATTTTTAAATGTTATTAAGTATTTTTAACGAAATATTTTAAACATATTTAGTTACTCGCATATAATTTCAGGACCACTTAAATTTTATATTGAGGTAGAGAGTCAAAGCTTCGAGCTCTGATTTTAAGAAGTGTTAATGTTGATTAAATCTGAAATGTATCTTATCTTTTCTTTCTCTTTGCTTATTCATTTCGTGCAGATGGAGATATATTAGTATATTTATGGAATTTATTTTGTGAATTTTAAATATTTTTATTTCCTTTATTTTCATTGATATGGATTGTAAAGAATTGCCTGAAAATTTTTTTAAATATAATTCAGGGTTCGCACGCACTTGAAAATAATTAACAACTGGCATAATTTTTTGATAAAAAGGCTGAGAATTTTTTAACATTAGCTTTTATTATCGAAATAAAATTTCAAAATATGCCACTTTCGGATCTAAATATATTTACTTAGAGGAAAAAATTACTCTGGTAGCAAGAAACATTATAATACTAAGAAAATAATATTATAAAGTTATTAAATATAATAACTTTTAATTTCTTCCAGGTACATATGAACCCTGTAATCATTCAATGGATGACTGTAAAACTGAAAAAAGTCCAAAAATCGGTGGTAAAAATACTTTTTTTTCTCCAAATTTGCGATGGTTCTACTTATATATTCGAGTTCAATAATTCTCTGAAAATGAAATAAATAAATAAATGTTCCACCAAACTTTTGGAAATAAAAATATGTTTATCAGTATAAAAGCAATAACACAAATTTTTGAAAATTAAAAATAAAAACTTTACCTCATTATTAAAAGATAAACTTTGAATCTTTAAACGAATGAAATGATTTTCAGGTACGGAAATCCTCCAACATTTACTATATGAGTTATAACTTCCCCCATATGAATCTTCAATAGAGCCGTTTAAACTAAAGACTTTAGTGCAATCGCCACGAGAAGAAGAAACTGTAATAAGATTAAAATTATTATTTATACATGTATAAACTATCAGTATTAGCATAAAAAAAATAATAATTTCAAAACTATTTAAAAGTTCAGGTAACTTAAACCTAAAGTTTTTTGGAAGATCAAAAATGTGAAATAAAGTTTAGAAAGTATAATAAAAGGTTTTGAGCAATTTCGTAATTTAATGTTATAAAAAAGCAATTTTTATACAGCTTTTGATTTAACAAAAAGTATTACCAATTTAATATTTCATGGGAGAGTTTTCAATCATAACTTGATATGAATCCTACATGAATGAGGTTTCGGCAAACTTAACAACGATTTCTGACTTAACAATTTTCAAAACATATAGGCTTTGGCATTGCAATGGAACAGTTTGAAAAGTAATAGTTTCGGATTAAACTTTTAATATTTTTGCACCAGTTTTACGAAATATTTTAAAGAAAAATCTAAAATTAAAATAATTTTTCAAGCTTACATACTGATGTTAACTTGCTGCGATTTTAGAGTGCCTTGGTGATTGCAAAAGTTAATGTTTTAACTCAGGGGTTTATCAAAATAATCAAAAAACTATATAAAGATCATGTTTGAAACTTTCAGAAATGGTGTTTTTTTACACACTTAAAGTTCGGATTGACCAAAATGAGGAAGAGGAAGTAAATAACCTCTTTCTGGCATTAATACCGACAATTTCGGAAACAATATCATAAGGATTGCAATGTATATATTAGATTGCCTTTTAAATTATAGTGGTATTATAAAAGGAAATCAGTTCTTAACTTCATAACTTCCATTTTGGTCGAAGCAAAGTTCACATGGGTAAAAATGACACCATTTCTAAAATCCTCAAACTTGATCTTTCAAATTATGCCAGCAGTATTTCCTGGTGAAAACTTCCAAAACATTTACTGCTAAAAGAAAAAATGCTTACATAGAGTTAGTATGGAAGAGTTTCCATGATTTTGATCATCTTCTGTATATTATGGTTTTGAATGAAGCAGTTAGCTGAAAATGGTTCAGTTGGCCTCCCAATTTACATATAAAAACAAAATTTTAAGTAAACCTTAGTAGCAGAATATGATAGAATGTTTAAAAACCATTTCAACATTATAGAATTAACTAAGAAAACTCTGCCACTCATAATAAAAACGAAATCAAAGGACTGGTTTGACGTGGAATGAGAAATAATTAATGAAAGAAAAAATCGAGCATACAACAGCTGAAGATACCGAAACATTATGCCAGAAATGCAAAGGAAGAATAAGAAGAAATGAGAAGACGCGAGAAAATAATATTTAAACAAAAGAAAGTACTGGGAGGAAATATATAAAGAAATAAGAAGCAAAAGGAAGCAAAAAAGTTCTACAGTGTAGTAAACAAGGCTAAAAAAGAGTTCTCCCCCAGAACTCACTCAAGTCGTGATGAAAACGAAGAACTTATTAATAATAATACTCAAATACTAAGGAGAACATTTGAAAAGAACTCTTGATAGAAAAGATACTTAGAGGAAAGAGAGGAAGATATAAAAAAGACCCCACAAGAAGCGGAACTAGACAACCTTCCTTGGGTGAAGTTGAAAGAGCGATAAAGAACTTAAATAACAACAGTTCGAAAGGACCAGATGGCAGCAATGCAAAGCTCCTGAACATAAAGGAGCCTAAACTCATCAAAGAAATACACGCTATTATAATCCGTGTATGGACAGAGGAAAAAATGCCCATTAAATGGGAAGATAGTTACATAGATCCAATAAAAAAGAAGGCTGGCTGGACTGTAAGAACTATAACTCTCTTGAACACATCATACGAGATACAGACAAACAGCCTGGCAGGAAGACTTGGTACCTATACAAACAGAGTGTTTGGCAAATACCACTGTAGATTTCAAAAAAACAGATCAACGACAGATCAAATACACAGCTTCAGACAAATACTTGAGAAGAACAGAGAATAAAGCATAGATACCTTACACAATAAATAATACTAATGACATAAAAATTAAAATTAAAAATTGAATCAACATGGCTTACAGATGTTATCATGGATTGAGCAACCAGCTCAAATCTAAGTACTTAAGTTGTGAAACAAAAATATAGTTGTACAAGAAACTAGTGAGATCAATAGTTCAGTGAATGCTGGGCAATTAACAAAGCAGATGAAGTGAAACTGATCACTTTCGAGAGAAAAATATTAAGAAAATTTTTTTGGTGCAGTAGAAGAAAATGGAACTTGGAGATTTCAAATATTTTCGTAATAAGATTGAAAGATTGGAAAATATGAAAACAGAAGGTAAAAGCATAAATAGAGGGATTTTGTTTTATAGTGCGTTCTTATAGCAGTACTGAATCGCTTTTGATTTGTAAGTTACCAAGAATGGGGCCGAAAAGGGATGTGAGCAAGGTAATAATATACTGGATAATTTAAAGAAGTTGACAATTAATAAAATTGATATTTAATTATACAATTTTAATGACTTTGGAAAATTAACTTTTGTTTAAGAAACAAAAAAAACAAAAGAGAGAGAAAGAAACATAAATTGCCAGTTTTGCTCTTAATTTTTGACCATGGATTTTCCCCACATGGATTTGCACATGGTAAAATTTATATAAATTAACAAAGGAGTTTTTTATTAAATTTATTTACAATAACATGCAATTAACTCAGTAATTTTACATAGAATTTAATTATGTTAGTTGGGTATCCATTGTTTTCAATCAAATTTTAAAAGAGTTTGTTAATTTGTTTTTGGATAAATAAACATTAATACATATTCTTTTAATTCTATTCATTTGATTAAAAGGGATATTTAAATAGATGTTCTTAGAAACATTAGAATTCCAAGTAATTAGCTTATTAATATTAAAATTAAAATCATTTCTTTTGTCGTATAAATCAACAGAGCAGATATTTTATTCTTTTATAATACCCAAATCCAAAAAAGTAAATTATTATCATGATAATATTATCATCATTAATATTACATAGTAATATTATCATCATGATTACGAAGCAAGAATAACTCCTCGGGGTAAATATTATTTAATAAAATTGTATAACCTTGAAAATTAAAGATAATTAAATCATCTGTAAATCTGAAAATAAATTTTATATTAAGAGCATAATTTTTTCATAGTAGTGCAAAAATAAGTTAGCTAAAAAAAAAATGAAAATTAGATCATTGTGGTATTTCATCAATTTGAAGAAAAATATCTTTTCCATTGTAAAGATAATTATTATAAATACAAAAATTAATTAAAATTCTCCAATAATCAAAATCACAATTAAGGATATTTTTAAAATCTTAGTAATAATTCAAAAAGACATCTTTTAGTTTAGAAAGGGGAATGCTATTGAAAAGATCCTAGAAATCAAAAATCGCGATAGAATTAATTATGTTTAATAAATTCTAAAATCGGTTGATTATTAGTGATAATCCAAGAAAAACATTCTTTAATAATATTGTTGATAAATTAATTTAAGTAGATAGAGAAAATGGTGCCAGGTTTAGTTAGGTAAGTATTAAACCCACATGTGATTGTTCCAAATTTCATAAGAATTTTATGAAATTTAGGACTGATAATTAAGTAAGGAAATTGTATATTGCTAATTTTAATTTATAGCCTCTTATATAAGGCTAAAATTATTTTAATCACAATATTATTATTTAAGTTACTAAGCTTAAAATTGTTACTATTTTTAACTCCGTATTTAAAAGTTCAACTCATAATTTTTTTACAGAAGATTGCATAGTTATTATTAGCTCTGTCTATGGGGTAATTACAAAAATTTTTTTGTATGCTTAATTGATTGAAAAAATTAAAAAAAATTTTTTTTGAATTGTTACCGTTATTTAAATTTTTCCTATCATTGAAAACAAAGTTTTTTAAGTAATAATAAACACCCTATTACCATTCTGTTAACATACCTAAAGGTAAAGAGAATCTATTTGATATCTTTAAACAAAAACTACTATCTAAGTTTTTTATAATATTTAAAGTACCAGAAATAATTTGTTTTTGATGTTTATCAACAAAGTTTATGCTTCTTATATGTTTATCACATTATCCACACAAAAAAAATTATTTCGTAGGGTGCAAGAATATAAAAATTATAATAAAATATTTTCAGTAAAATAATCTAAAAAAGGTTTATTTTAGTAATTATTACAAACAACTTACCAAAGGCCGAGACTTGAGTGCTGACAAATCCTGAAAAAGTGATTAAAAATAAAAGTAACATTATTCAAAAATTTCACTTTTAAAGTATACAAGCAAATAAGGATTTTTCGTCGATCCGCTTAAAGACCAAAACACGAATTTTATGTTTCAGTAACACACTTTAAATTAAAGATGTGTATCGTAATAGTGTTCGTACTGAAATATGATTCAATTTCATTAAAAACTATTTTAAAGTAACGGTTCCGAAATAACGGATCTCGGGAACTTGTTATCGATTCCCTTGTTACTTTTTAAACAAAGATAAGTGGCACCTTCTATCAATCCAAACATACCGAGTAAGATAGATAGATTAAAGGGAAAAAAATCATGTTACTCACTGAACTAATGAAAATAGAACCAATCAAATAGATTATTTGAAGTTTATAAACAAAGAAAAGGGGACAAATAATGCATCACACAATAGTTTCAATGTTCTCCTTAACAATCTCTCATCAGGAAAATGTTATTTTCAAAAAAAATAACAAATTATTTTTATTAATTTAAAATAAATTAATCTCTATAAATTTAACTAACGAGGAGGGAGAATTTGATCTTTCCAAATAGATGACTCAGAGCTGAAATAAACATAACAATCTGTTTGATAAAAATCCAATTAGTTTTTTTCCAAGAATTTAATTTTATTTCGCTTCCACTTTCAAAAATATTTAATTGGCAAATAGCATTTATCTGATACAGGAAGAACAAACTTAAGATAAAACAACTTAAGATAGAAACAACTATCATCAATAAATAATTAAATTTTTCTTCTCAGACATTTTTATGCAGCTATTGTGAATTTATTAAAAAAACCTTTTAAAGTTAATAATAAAAGGCAGTCTGATAATGAATTAAAGAAGTTTTAAAAGACGTATGTGATATTTATTTTTAAATTCAGATTTTAAAGTTTCCAATGTTTAAATGATGAGAAATTGGGAAAATACGACTTAAATGTATTTATCTATAAATTTAGAGTTGTGTTGCAAAATTGTTTTACTTTAACGGCGAGCGTTCATGTTATGTGGTACGTGCATATATGGCAGTACTTTTACTTTCGTTACTCGTACCGCCGGTACAAGTAAAAAGTACGTACATTTACTAGTACTTCGTTACGTTTTAAATTTAGTACTTTTACTTGTACTTTCGTTACTTTTTTAGGGAAAAAGTACAAGTATTTGTAACGGAAATGTCGAATGAAATCGTTACTTTTATCTACAAATCGGTAAGCTTTCTTAAAAAAAAAAAAAAAAAAAAAAAAAAAAAAAAAAAAAAAAAAAAAAAAGAACAAAAAAGCTTTCGAAATGCAATTATTTTGCAAAACGAATAAAAATATTAATTAGCTAGTTATTTTCATTTATTTTCGAGTTTTATGTATTTGTTTAATAAATTTTAAGTAAAAAATGTTGGATTTTGTTATTACGCTTTTAAATTTTCTTTTTGAACTCACTAATAATACATTTTTGTCTTAATACATTTTTTACTAAATACATTTTTACCTAGTACATTTTTTACTAAACTTATGCTTATGCCCGACCTTGTCAAACAACGCCCAGTGAAATCTCTAAGAACTTCAGAACTATTTGTGCTATTGAAAACTATTATAATTACTATTTTAACTCTTGAAAACTCGAAGGTATTAATTTAGCCGCTGATACTAAAATTCGTTTACAAATTTTAATTATTCCGTTAGGCAGAAATGTTCGGAAAATGATTTTCTCGCATGACTTCAGCATTAGCCATTGTTACAAATAAAACTGTAGACTGTTCTGTTTCAACTTATACTGCACATTCAATTATTTTTTACTAGCTCAAAGATCACAAAGCTATCTGAAACCCCGTGTTTGCTTTGTTTATGTTTGTGCTTTTAAAACGCGTTTCTATAGAGTAAAACAATTTTAAATCAATGGTAATTTAAATAAATAAAAATAATAAACTAAAAATTAAAATCAATAGATAAAATTTCTTTTTCGTGCAAATCCATAAAAAGTTTGATATTAAAATTATATTTGATTTTAAAATTATATTATACGATTATATTATAAAATTATATTATAATATTCTTCCGAATTTAAAAATAAATTAATATCCATAACTTTCAAAATTAAAAATAATTAAATAAATAACAACAATTTTGCAAAAACATTAAAGAACATAAGAATATTATTCAATAAAATTTTAGGTTACTTTGAATTTTCGATTTCCTAGAAATGTACTTTTAAATCGTTACTTTTTTTGTTTAGTACTTGTACTTTTACTTGTACTTGTTACTCGTTACTTTTTAAAATAAGAACTTTTTACTTTTTACTCGTTACTTTTTTTAAAAATACTTGTACTTTTGCTCGTTACTTTTTAAAAGTAACGTTGCCATATATGGGTACGTGCATCTGTCATAGTATATCAACTTTCAAAGTATGCCCATTAACAAAAATATAACTATGTTTTCTTCGCTGGTTAAAAAGTTATATTTTTTACTCGAATTCTTCAAATGCAGTGCGATTCGAGAATAATTAATGTTTTTCGGTTTTAGAAGTATTTACACCGATTTTATCGAACTTTCATAAATCTCATTTTGAACAATTGAAAGAAAATGATAAATTGAGCCAGGGATCTTTTAACTATTTTTTGAACCAGGGTTCTAAAGAAAAAGAGCTTATAATATAACCATTTCATATGTATATATATAAAAAGGTAGTTTCTTATGTCTGAAAATAACGAATAATAAGTTTCGGTTACCGAAAAGAAGTGACATTCTAAGTGAAAAGAAGCTAGAAATAAGAGGGTTTTATTACCTGTTTTTTCTCTTTTCCGGGGTACAGGCAAGCCTGCATAGAACGGTGATTGTTCACTGGAATGAACGAAGAAAAGTAACGCCTACTTTCAGCCGTACTATAACTTAAGAAAAGGGTACAAAAATAATATTGACCAACGCGGCGTAAGAATTTAAAGAAATTTCCTTTCCTAGAATTTAATTCTTCACTTGTAGATTCCCCCAACTCTTCTTTTAATATCATATCCACCGACCCATAACTGAATTTGTGATCATAGTTCCTAGCAGTTTTTTAATTTTGAAGCCAACCCGGAAGTCAAGGGAACTCTTGAGTAAAGCGCTGGGACCTAATTTTCGAGGTTGACTTTCATGATGAAACTGGCCCATACACGTTTTATGGAGTTGGAAAACCCCGAAAACCTTTCATGGTTGCTGATGGCAAGAAGATACCTGCCCATGATTCCATCTAATCTACAACTGGAGCTATTTTAAGTCAGCACCCTGGTCAATGAAAGCCGGAAACAAAATTCGAATCAACCGGCCATCGAATCAACCGGCCATCGAATCAACCGGCCATTCGAATCAACCGGTTTTCGGGGTCGCCTCACTGGGAGGGGCGTGATTCATCTCCTGAACTATTGGTTCTCAAGGTTTCACTGATAATTGGCTCGCTATTGAACCGAAGCCGCACCCTTATTTAGAAAAGGGACCAAAAGTGATTCCTCTTCTAAGGAAGAAACTATAGTTTTACCAACGTGGCAGGAAAACTACAAATCTGGCGGAAGAGTTTCTAAAATCAATTCAATAAAAGAATATTAAAAATCATGGTTTCACATTTCGATTTAATATTTAAAGAAACCTAGCAATCAAAGGTTGTGATTCGCTAACTGAAATCATTTTTTAATTAGTTGGAGAAGTAAAGCGATAAGTTTTTGTAACTTGGTCAGCTTAATTTTTGAACACTGCCAATTCTTAATTCCAGGTTATTACTGGACCGTTTGTAACTTTTTTGGTGAGGTTACCGCGTGGAGAAAAGTCCTATCTGGGCACCTCTACGCTAGATTATGCGACCAGACAGTCCGTAGCGTTGTATCGGTTAATATTCGCAAGACATAACTCAATGTGTATACATTTAACAGGTAATTCCTACATGTAATATCATAACTATAAATGCATCTAAATAAGTTCTTTAAATTAACTTGCCACCGAAAGCAGCATCAGTCAGTGGATATTTATTATCTAAGTTATGGCGTCTAATATGTAATTGCAGAGCTGCCAACTTCTTACAATTTTTGAGAAAATTGCTTTTAGTTGTAGCTAAGTTCATGCTTCAATGTATTATTCTTTGTTTTGTAAATTTGATTTAAAGTTATTTTTCACACAACAACATACAGATTATTCTAAAGTTCATATGAAGTACTTCTTGGTCTATCGGCGTGAGGCTTTTAAAACGTTGGCAAAATTACCAAAAATTCTGAAAGGTTAAGTTTCTAATTCTCTACCATTTTATTAACTGTATAAAAAAAAATTTTAAAAAAAATTTTAAAACCACGTTTTTGTAGTGGAGAATAATAATTAAAAAATAAAAATTTTAAAAACGTGGGACGCATGAAATACGTAACAGTAACAGTATGTATGTTCATGAGAATATGTGTAACTCTGTAATTGTATCTGAATGTGGATGTGTGTGAGTAAGAAAATGTATATACGTACTGTTACGTATTTCATGCGCCCCACGTTTTTCATATTTTTGTTTTTTAATTATTATTCTCCACTACAAAAACGTGGTTTTTAAAAATATTATTTTGATTTTTTTTTTGTACTCACTTCCTAAATCTCAATTTTTTCACTCACTGTACACAAAACTTTTCAACTGACATGTGACACTAATTTGAAATAATCGAACCGACAACAAAAGACAATCGCGAAAATATTAATTTTTCTTTAATTTAAATTAACTTTGTCTTTCTTCTCTTCATTTTCATACATTGTCATCCAATTCTGAACTATGTGCCAAATTTGAAGTCTGTTGCTAGTCGGGAAGTTAGTTTAAAATCGATTACAAAATTCCACCCGAACAGACATACACGTATGCAACTTAATGTAAACGTGATAATAAAATAGCTTAATCTTTTAGGTATCTCTTCAAATTATGGAGGAGCTTTCGAAAAAAAGGACCTAAAATAATCAAAAGCCTTCAGCTTCTCTTCTAACTTTTTTACCTCGAAACACCACCGTACCGTGAGGGGAGGCGTTTCTTTACCTACAATTAGGATATTGTTATATACTTAGTAAAATGTTAAGAGATTTAATGAATAAAATTTTGATTTTAGAATAATACTGGTAAATATTAAACAGCAAAGTTTTTATATTTGCTTATTTCACGTCTTTTTTTTAAATTTATTACTTTAAGATATTGTAACATGTACTATATTTTAATAATGTTTTAACTTTGTTTCCTATTTCATAGTCGTCCTTTAAATTTAATGAGTTACAGTTTATTTAATGTCTGTTATTCTAGAACAACACTAGACCGACGGATTTGTGATCTTTTAACAATCTTCTGATTTTTATTTAAAATGCAACTAAAGCTCAACTTAAAAAGAAAAATAAATTGCGTCTTGGAATCCTGCTATGTTATTTTATAAACTACTCTTTTTCGTGATAATGTGCACAATTTTTAACACCGATTATTCAGACGTAAGGCTTATGCGGTTTTGTGTATGATTTTTTTATAAATGTATATTTAAGTCTGAAAAATATTTATTACCAAATTGTTAGAAGTTTTGATAAGCTCAGAATGAAGTTCTCTGTATGCCATTTATGTAAAATTACCCGTTTGCAAATCTTATTAAAAAGTAGGCGTTACTTTTCATCGCTCAAAGTACTATGGCGCAGCGCTGATGTTCACAATTTTTTCGACTAAGAAACAATCGTGCTTCTTTGTAGTAATCATCAGTGTCCGACTTTAGAAAAAAAGGAAAATAATTAGCATGGCACTAGAAAAGTATCCACAAAATGTTTTAGGAATATTTTACGTAAAAAGTGACATTTTCATAGTGTTTTTTATTTTTTTTATCAATAGACTTTAACGTGCCATTTGCTCTTCAAAAAAAATTTTTTAACTTATAAATTCCAGGGATGTCTGTTAAATAGGGTAGAAAGTATAAATTAAATTGAAAGATAGTAAATGCTATGAAAGTGAAATATATTTATTTCTTAAAAAAAATAATAAATAAACTAGAAATTAAAATTTCAAGAAATTAAATTTTTTACCTGCCAGTCTTATTACAAAAACAATTTAATTAAATTAAAATTTATCTATTAATTAAAATTAATTAAAATCAATAATTAAAATAATATTTAATTATTGTTATAATTTCAGTAATACTACTAGGATGATTCTAATTTTAAATAATGAAAAATTGTGTATGCGTAGGTGGTGTTTCGATTTCGATTGCTAGACTCCTCCTCATCGAACTGGAAAAACTTATTCAAAGCAAAGAAGTTTTCGATCTATTTACTTGGACTTTTAAAATTCTGAGTTCCAGATCAAGCACAGAACAGTTCTACTCACACTTACAAGAACGGCCAATAATCAGCCAGCATCCATGAGGCCACGCCCCCTCTCTCTTTTCGTTTTTTGCGTGATCACAGTTCGCTGTGATCTTTTCTAATTTCAGATCCACCAACATTTAATCAAACATCATCGACTCAACATAATCGACGACTATCGTATATGCCGCTTCGAGGCATGCGTACCAAGATTTGTTGCATTTGCAACGTTTCGACTTTCGTTCGAAATTGATTCAATCGAATTAACAGTTTATTAAGATTAAGATTGATTCGCATTCCGATTCGAACTTTCGCCACATGACAACCAGCAAGATAGCTTGAATTGGACGGCTAAGTACGATGGAACTCTTTCTAACCAATTACAAAGCAGTCATTCTCAGTTGAGCGGCGGTGGTGGAGAGTAATCAGAGGGATGGGATAATAAAAATTTGGTGACGTGTTCGTATTCAAACACACTGGACATGATGAGTTTCAAAATATAAGTTTCAAATTTAGAAATGTTTCCGAATTACTTATTCGTAATTATATGTATAATTTCGGGAATAGAATTCGAAACTATCATGCGCTCAGCAGTCGCTTTTAATTCCAGTTTAACACATTTTTTAACGTAAAAAAAAGTTTAATTTTTGACTTTCTCACTGTATTATAATCGCGACCAACTATACTCAAGAGAAAAGTCTCCAGAAAAAAGTCTCAAATTCGTATATATTTTAAGTTCATGAAGTTTTTCATCAAGTAAAATGGTTCCAATTGCTCACTCAGAAGAATGATCAAAAGTTTGAGCTCAATAATGTTTATTTCACTTTTTCTATCTTTCGCTAACTCTCCGGTACTATTTTTTAAAGCTACTATAACTCGTTTATCCAATGATAATTCCAGGCAAAAACATTTTTTAAACTTTTTTTAAATTTCTTTTGATTTAAGTTTATAAAAAAAGGAAGAATAATTTGAATTGTAACGTGCATATATTTTCACGCCCATTCAAAGTATGTAATTTTAAATTACGAAATTCAAGATCAAAACGAAATCGGTGGATTAAATCCTTAAAAATGTAAATAATGAAAATAAAAATTTTTTAGAAATTTTATTACTCTGAAACTGTTGATCCGATTTCATGTAAATTCAAGATCTTGGTTTAATCACAAATGCACAGTTTAAAATTAAGAAAATATAGTGGTGTGCAAAATTCTAAAGCAAAACAACATTAAAAAAAAAAAAAAAAAAAAAAAAAAAAAAAAAAAAAAANAAAAAAAAAAAAAAAAAAAAATTTAAAAAAAGCATTAAGTTCTCTAAACTTTCATCTCTTCTCTTAATTAACCCTGATTATCGATTTTAACTATATTTTCTACAATGGGACTGTCCCAGCATCGAATCTGTTCAAAAAGAAAAGTAAGATTTTCAGATAATTTCTTCTGATTTTATATATCTGGCTTTTTATTTAACACTTATCAGTTCAGTTCAGAATTCAGAAGCACGAATTATTAAGGTTACCTGTTAGTACGTGAAAACTTCCATCGCTATTATGACAAATATTTAGGTTTTAATTATTATTACTTTGAGATAAGGTCATATTTTTCAGCCCTACTTAGAGAAAGCAAATCACTTAAACGCTTAATATACCAACACCTAATGTATAACTATTTCTACCACAGCAAGTCAAATGACCGGACTTTATTTTTCTTGATTGAATGTATGAAATATGGATGTTAGGAAGGATATAAACTAAAAAAAATATTTTTTAATTTAACAAAATTGTATATTGCCAATTTTTATGTATTACAAACACAAAGAATAAGAATTTTTAATTCATTGCTCGACTCTTTTTTTACACATACAGGGTGTTTTCATTGTACATTTTCCTCACACATATTTCTTCTAATTAGTATTATTTCTATATTTCTTTTAATTAGTATTATTTCTACATTTCTTATAATTATAAGAATATATAAAAATAATATATTCTTATAATTCTTATATATTCGTATAAGAATTATAATTATTCCTATAATTATAATTATTCCCATCATTAAAATTATTTCTTCTAAGAACTTGAGCTGTCTTGATTGTTTCGACATTTTTCTAGGTAAAAACTAACAGTAAGTTAAAAATGAAGCGCAGCTATCAAAATAAAATATGAAATACTTACCAAAACATTTAGTTTTTGTCACTTTTTCTTACACAAATGTGCCAATCTAAAATTTTAGGTACTAAATTTGAATTCACAGTTATTCTGGTTGAACTAACTACGCAACAGTCTTTGCAGAAATGTGCAACTCATCGAATGCATTACATCGTAATTTCTGATCCGATAACCTTATAAAGAAATAAATTGTTCTCTCGGTCAAATGACCGGTTGTAGTAGAAATAGGTATACGACAAGCATTATTCGAAACAAGCAAAATACACACACAAAAAAAAGAATATTAACTAATTGTTCGAAAAAGTCATGAAGTCAAAAGTGCAAAAACGATAAGATGATAACCGCATTTTCGCAGCAAAAGTTCCTTAACGGTCATTTGACCGATTATGGTATGTTTAGTGCTTATAATTTTGATTGTTTTCTCATGATGAAGAGTGTTGTGATAATATCTGGAAGGAATGTCTAATAATGTGCGTCATTTTTTTCATCTCTTTCATTGCATAATAGCATTTTAAGATGGAGAGAAAAGCAACTATCTGAAAGACATCGGAAATATCATATTTCACTATTTATTTCAGATTTACCTTAAGAGTTTTTGCTTTTAACCAAAATTAAAAGTATATTTTTCTGCAAGTAGTTTTCTGAATAAAAATGAAATAGGGTTTTGTAAATGAATAGGGTTTCAATGTCTCTTACTGGGTTTAAAAATTATCAAAATTCGTTAAAAAAAAGTTTTTAATTAAAAAAAACCGCAGTGATGTTTTCATTTTAAATAACTCCATTAAACGCTTCATTTTGCTTTGACAAAATAACATTCTATAAATGCCGACCGGACATGAGAAAGGTTTTGGGTTTGAATCCCGGGCAAGGCATGGATGTTCTTTCATTCTCTGTACTGTCTGTCTTGACTGTGGGAGCAACGATGACCCACCTGATATGGTGCCCCTGAAAGAGTGGCCATCCTGACTGCCATGTAATTGCCTGAATTGACGAAATGGTAACACTGGCGGGCATTGGAAATAAAAAGAAGAAAAAAAAATCTACAATTGGAAATTGAATATTTATTAGAAGTATCGATTACATTGTCGGTCAATTTTACATTTGGAAATTGATATTTTCATGATCCTTTAAGCAGATGATCTGTTGAAACTGATTTTTCTTTGGATGCCATTGAAAAAAGGGAGCTGGTATTGATCATTGATAGTTCATGGAATACTTCTTGTACCACATGGCAATGTGATCTCCTTCTGACAATACTGTTTTAACTGGACCTGAAAAGTAACAAAAATATTTACTCAATCTTATTACTAATTTCTCTTCTATCTAATTCTCTTCTATCTAATTCTCTCCTATACTCTTCAATCTAATTACTAAATCTCTTACTAAATTTTATAGTATTTAATGAAAAGTGCAACAAAAAAAATAATAATAATAAATAATAATTGCAATGAATGTTAATTTAAAGTATCAGAAATTTTTTTTTCTCTACTCCATTTTTGATGATATTTTGAATAACTGTGTGTAGAAAGTTTCTAGACCATTTTTTTTGTCAAAATTGAGATTGAATTAATTTCATCGTGTTTATTGGTGAATCTCTCACTACAATGAAAAAGAAAACTTAAATTTAATTGCTAATTAGAGAAAGACAGAGGGTAAATTTTTTCGCCTCAGACAGAAAAAGGGCATTAATTTTTGTCTGAAGGTAATCCTGATAACTTAAAAATTTTGAGGTGATAGCAGCACAATATTTTATTTTGTAACCGTCGTTGAACAGCCGACCCCATTTTGTTGCTACGACTAATAAAGTTCAATTCCATAGCATTGTAGTTTTGAACAAAAATCCAGAAGGGAACTCCTGCATCAAGTATTTGAAGAAGTTTGCCTTTGATGGAGGACATTTTGATGCAACAAAACTGCATTTGCGTTGCATGGAGGGGAAAATCATAAGAACCTCCCATAGTTAGCCCGTTGGCAAGGGGTCTCTCACCCATGATCCATCTACCACTGAGGATATTTACGTCAGCACTGTGGCTGGTGCGAGTCGGATCCCAATCCAAAAGACAAAGGAACTCCTGCATCAAGTATTTGGAGAAAATTACCTCCGGTGGGGGACTTTTCATTGGAACTAAACCGCATTTGCGTTACATGGGAAAGAAAACCTCCCACGGTTAGCCCGATGACAAAGGGACTCTAACCCATGATCCGTCTACCATTAAGGATATTTTACGTCAGCTCTGTGGATGGGAATTCATTTACCGACCAGCTATCGCTGGCATTCGAACCCGTTTCACCTCATTGTAAGGCGAACGCTCAATCCCCTGAGCAACCACGGCTCAGCAGCACAATATTTTTATTTATATTTTATATTATAACCATCGTTGAACAGCCGACCCAATTTTTTGGGTTTACGACTGTTAATGTTCAGCGCTGTAGCCTTGCAATATTGAACCCAATCCAGAAGACAAAGGAACTCCTGGATCAAGTATTGGAAGGAATTAGCCTTCATGGTGGACGGCATTACAATATTATAGTTTTCATTGTTTCATAGCTTTTCATCGCTTTAAGTAATATTTTATTTTAGTGGATTGTTAAGAGGATGCCACATCGCAGCCAGTGATGCTTAACTTTGACGTAGAGGAGAGTTTTTGAAGAGAACTACAGATGTTATAAGGAAATAGCCCACAAACTGCCTAAATGGGTTCAAATTTAATACTCTGAAATATTGCCATAGAGTCGGGAGTGCAGCATTGTCCAGAATGTTCACATGCATCTCAGAGCTCCCAACCACAGGAACAAACGAACCCAGACCAAACCACGAGAAACACCGCCACACCATTACGCTTCTACCCCCGTAACAACCGGATTTCCGGATACTTTTGGCCTGATAGTGTACACTTTGGGACTCTTACCTGTTTCCTCGTGTTCAAAAGTATTTCCTGCAGCTGTGTTCTTCTTGTAAAATAACCAAAACTTCCCGTCTTCTGGATCATTTGGAATGTCGGCCACTTCATAGATATCCAACTTTCCAGATACTGATTCGTATTTGAAACTATAAAAAAGTATAAAATTAGTTTTAATGCAAACCAAATATTTGATAATTTTAATAAAACTGAAATTTAAATGCTGTATTTGAAAAACAACAAAAAGTAACTAAAATACAAGAATTTTTTATTGCTTTATCACTTTCGGCGGTGTAAAATTTCTTACAAATTTTAGACTCCTTAGCAATTACAGTCGTGATAAAATTCGTTGCTTCGAGACAGTTCCACGAAAAAATAATTTTTAATAATTATTTATTATTTTATTTAATAATGGTTGAGACAATTTTGAATTGCAAGATATACAAATTTTTCCATCATTTTAAAGAATGTAATTTTGTAAGGCAAAATATAATATTTGAAAGACTTCTTTAAAATTAAGTACTTTTAAACAGCTTGAAAAGGTTAGCTTTTTTCAAAAATATTAGCTAAATACAACAGTAGGAAATAAACCCTGAAAATATATTAACATCGAAATAACATGGAAATCAGAATTTGCAAATGAAAAAAAAAATCTTACTTGTATTTTTTGTCTTTGAGGGCAGCGAACTGCATCACATCAAATGCTGTGAAGTGCTTTGGTACTTTGAGTACTATTGTGTGGATGACATCTTTACTGTCTCCAATAAACAATGAGTACTGAACTTGAATCTTCGGGCCCAAGTAATCATGTATTTCAGCCACAAGGTCATCTGTAATTGTAACAGAAAATTAACGTGATCTTCATTCTCGATACGATGTAAAATTGTCGCAAGAATTTAACATTTGAAGGGTGCAAAAAATGAAAACATTAAAAATAACCTTTGAACTAATGCTTCGATTTTCGCAAAGAAGGTAACATTCAATAAAGAGATGACACAGGTGACTAAAACTGTGAACAGCGGCAGTGCATAAGTACTTTTTTTTATATGTGGAAACAAAATTATATAAATCGGCTTATACGGAAAAGAATTTACTTTTTAAGTTGTCTGAGTACGTACAACAAGCACAGGAGACTTTCACAACTATAACAACAACGACAAAACATGTTCTGGATTCGAAACTGTGCCACTTCATTGATGTAACTATTAACTTGGAAAAGATGTTGCAAGTGATAGTGAAAAAATAAAGTAAGTTGAAACAATTTTCTAAACTTTCATAGTTACTTCATTAACACTTAAGCGTGGCTGCCTAATCGATATATACAAATTTTATTTTTAAAACTAAAACAAGATTTACGTTTACTTACAATGTTTGCTAGCACTTAGGAATTTTCTACCTTAGACGCACAAGTTAAAGCTACGAAAAAGCATTTCCTACTAAAAAAGTAATTCCTAAACTATATCTATTTCCAACGTTTTGTTTCTTGAATTATCCATATTTCTACAGAAATGAACTTTTTATGATATCCAGGATAGGATTTTTAACCACTTTTCAACATAACACTCCATAAAAAAGATGTTGCCAAAATGTTTATACAATCGAATCCCGCTATAATAAACCACCTACAGGCCTAGAAATGAGTTCACGATAAACGCTGGTACACTACATTCAAAAAAATATTCGGTAATGTTATTGGAAATAAAGATTTCAATAGTACATCATTTACTTTCTATATTATTAACTAACTGAATGCTCAGCGGCCATCCCAAGACAAAAAATCAAGATGGTTTTCCATTGATGGACCAACTTAAATATGATGGTAACCAACTTGAATTCCCAACAAAAACCATCATACAGCTTGATGTGACCATCAAACTTTCCCAACATCCCAAGGTAGGAATTGGCCGCTTTTCAAGTTGGACCNGCAAAACTCTTAATCGGAGCTGTAAATAACGATTAAAATATTCTTCATTTAACGAAGTGGTTGTCACCCTATAACGAATATTTAAGATGTTTATCTTTTCAATTTTCATTACTTTAGAATTTTTTTTAGACGTCTGTATCAGTTAACTGAATAACAACGAAAAAGAAATTTTTCACAATAAACAAGTTACCGATTTCGCAGAAGTTCGCCATAAACGAAAGGGACAACGGAAACTTTCGCTGCAACCTAGTATTAACTATTTCCTGGGTATTTCATAGCGGGGTTTAACCAACATACCCTAGAAGAGAGAAGGCCTTCGCACGGGTTACCATAAGCGAGAAATCTTATCCTTTAGTACTCCAGATGTTGTTTCATATTTCTTATTTCTCCCCCATGGCTGAGTTTATGTTCGATCAATCAGACTACTAATCTGATCAGTGCGGAGGTCTCAGGAGGTGTTGGTTTAACTATAGTTTAAATATTGGGTGTAAATTGTTTGCGGACAAAATAACTTACCTTGGTCCCTTGAACCGGAGCAGTTGGTGAAAGAAATATCGACCAGGGTTTTGTCATTCAGCAAGGGAAGAATCAAATAGGTGGACAGAAAGTTAGTTGGTAGCACCTTCATAGATTTTATTAGAAATCGAACAGCCTTCAGATGATCCCAGTCTTCAACGCTTTCATTAATGGCGATGCTGGACAAAAGTGCCTAAAACAATCGAAAGCATTTACTTTGTTTAAACTCGTATACATGAGTTAAATTTCAATAAATAGTAAAATTTAATTAAGTGAAAAGTTTTGAATATGCAGTTACATGAGTACATTTGTTACAGCTAAAGTGTAGAAATAATTGTTTTACAGATTATCTAACTAATGAGCTGATTAACTAGGTTTATTTGTTAAAGAGCTACTTAGATAATTTGCACATTATCTAGGAGATACTGCTTAAAATGAAAAGATCTTTTCTAGAGCAACAGCAACGTTTCTGCACGCTTAAAGTAACATGTTTTTTTCGCTATCTAAGAAATCTAATTATTACAATCAAACTATTAATAAATTAGCAGATAGAATCAATCATCAGTCACTTTAAAAGCTGTTTTACCAAACGGTTTAAAATATTATAAGAATTAAGAAAATAAGCATGATTTCTAGTAATTATTTTTTGATATCTAAAGGATCAAGTAAAAAAAATCAACAAATTAGTTAATAGAATGAGAAGAACGTCAGCACTTTAAAGATACGGCACCTTAAACGAGCTCATTTTTTAGTAAAACGCAGACAATTTTTGTTTCCGCACTTTAACGGAACAAATAAGTTAATCTTGCAATTAGCTTGTAGATACTAAGCACTTTTGCGATTTTCTAGATTTAGCGGTAATACAAGCAGGGCATTCTTCAGACATAATTATTAATTTAAATTTTTGGTAAATTTCGGAAAGGCGAATAGAAACTTTATGAAAATTTGACTATCTATAATTAAGGATGATGAGAGCAAAGGATTAAGAATAATTAAACATCTCTTTGTTTCACAATTGTGATTATCAGCATGACATTACTTATAATTAAAATTAAGTATTGAAATATTATTTAATTAAGATATTAATTGGGAAAGAGGGATATAATGACACTTATCAAATCATTCAAACATGTCACTGAAAGTTGCAGTTTGAATATTTGTTATACAATTATATGTTGCTGCTGCAATTTGATGTAATTCAACAGCAATGATAAACGGACATTATGAAATTTTCACCATTTAAAGTAAATTTTATTCCTAAAAGTAAATTGCCATTTTCTTTNTACAATTATATGTTGCTGCTGCAATTTGATGTAATTCAACAGCAATAATAAACAGACATTATGAAATTTTCACCATTAAAAGTAAATTTCATTCCTAAAAGTAAATTGCCATTTTCTTTGTTTTTACATGTAGTAATAACTGTTATAAAATGCATTTTTATCTTTGTTTTGCTTTGCAGATACTTTCTGAATCAAAATTAATAAAATAAGCATCAAGCATTTGAAAATATTTTTTTTAACTTTAGTGTGGGCATGATAATAAAAAAATAAAACATGTTGGGGTCCGTTTCCATAGTGCATTTATTTGAAAAAATGTGTTACGTTAAAATCCTAGAATAGCCCACCCATTGGCTTTCCGAAATCTCGCCAAGATGGCGTTTATTACTTCAATCTATGTTGTTTTTTATTATTAAAAAAAAACAATTTAAATTATTACAAATTTATTAAAATATTATTCATAAGATAAAAAAAAATAACTTGCAATAAGGTTGCAACATATTTCCCCGAAGCATCTTCCAGAAACCTAGATTGGCGAGATTTTTTAAAAAGTAGCTTAGCGAGATTTCAAAAAGTCGCCAAGGGTGGGGTATTTTAGGATCCACCCTATGTTACTGATAGCTACCCAATAGGGATATCTAGATTTATAATATTATGTTAATTGGCTCTATTTATTGCTATTACTATTAGTGCAACTATAGTACGAAAATTTTCACCAATATCAGATTGAATATTACCATTTTTTTTCGAAATGAAATCTTAAAAAGAACGCAAGTTACTTTAAACTTCTGTATTGTTATTAAACGGTACATGTACAAAATATCGTCGGTCAGGAAAATAGGCACAAATTGCACCAAATTGATACTAAATGGTTTTATATGCAACCAGTGAATATTTAGTTGGAATGGGAACGAAACGCTAATTTTAAAAAAATGCTGAAGTTACTGTTTCATAACGCAGCAATTAAAAATAAAAATAAGGCACTTTTTATTTGCAAATACAACTAAACATAACGTAAAAGTACTTAAAATTCATCCTATTTTAACAACAAAAAATTGATTTTTCAGTGAAAATCCTTAAATGAATAAACACGTATTCACTATATAGCTTTCAACTGTTAGCGAAAAATTGTGTTTTTAGCGCCATGTTTTCGTTTTTGCCAAAAAATAGTCGATGAGTTTAATTACCAATTATACTGAAGGTAGAAAGCAAATTTATGGCAAATATCTTATAAAATTAACCGATGTTAATGTGATTCTTTTCATTGACTAAGACATTTTCTTGTAGGTTGGTCATCGTGCTCTCTTGGCGGTCACGTGGCAGCTCTAAGCCTATTGCGCGGCGTCATCATATTGCGTGTAAATAAAATATGGCAGCATAGAGTTAATAATTATTAACGTCTGTCACAATACTAACGTCTACTCACTTTTTTTCTTTCTTTCTTTCAAATAATATTAAAAAAATGTATGGTCATATAAATACTCTATCTGTGTGTTACAAGCTCAGAGGCAACTTTACCAAATGACATGGTATTAAAATCACTTCACAAATTTGTGAAACATTTACAGCTGTATTCCTTATTTTCACAAAACAGTACACAAACCTGAGTAATAAGAGCTGTTCTCTGGACATTTCCGAAACTTCCACTTGGATTCTGCAGTTTCATGAACTCTTGAATGATTCCTTCGTAAGCATCTGAAAGTTCCCTGTCGTTTGGAATTAAATTGTACCCACCTTGTCGAAATTTGCAGGAAAGAGCCATCACCGCAAATGCTTGNGTTCGCCATAAACGAAAGGGACAACGGAAACGTTCACTGCAACCTAGTATTCACTATTTCCTGGGTATTTCATAGCGGGGTTTAACCAACATACCCTAGAAGAGAGAAGGCCTTCGCACGGGTTACCATAAGCGAGAAATCTGATCCTTTAGTACTCCAGACGTTGTTTCATATTTCTTATTTCTCCCCCATGGCTGAGTTTATGTTCGATCAATCAGACTACTAATCTGATCAGTGCGGAGGTCTTCTCTCTTTCAGGAGGTGTTGGTTTAACTGTAGTTTAAATATTGGGTGTAAATTGTTTGCGGATAAAATAACTTACCTTGGTCCCTTGAACCGGAGCAGTTGGTGAAAGAAATATCGACCAGGGTTTTGTCATTCAGCAAGGGAAGAATCAAATAGGTGGACAGAAAGTCAGTAGGTGGCACCTTCATGGATTTTATTATAAATCGAACAGCCTTCAGATGATCCCAGTCTTCAACGCTTTCATTAATGGCGATGCTGGACAAAAGCGCCTAAAACATTCGAAAGCATTTACTTTGTTTAAACTTGTATACATGAGTTAAATTTCAATAAATAGTAAAATTTAATTGAGTGAAAAGTTTTGAATATGCAGTTTTATGAGTACATTTGTTACAGCTAAAGTGTAGAAATAATTGTATTACAAATTATCTAACTAATGAGCTGATTAACTAGATTTGTTTGTTAAAGAGCCAAAAAATTCCCTAATTAGTCTGCAAACTACCTAGATAATTTGCACATTATCTAGGAGATACTGCTTAAAATAAAAATAAGATCTCTTCTAGAGCAACAGCAACGTTTCTGCACGATTAAAGTAACATGTTTTTTCGCCATGTAAAAAATCTAATTATTACAACCAAACAATCAATAAATTAGCTGATAGAATCAATCATTAGTCACTTTAAAAGCTGTTTTACCAAACGGTTTAAAATATTATAAGAATTAAGAAAATAAGCATGATTTCAATTATTTATTTTTTGATGTCTAAAGAATCAAGTAAAAAAAATCAACAAATTAGTTAATGGATTGAGAAAAACGTCAGCACTTTAAAGATAAGGCACCTTAAACGAGCTCATTTTTTAGTAAAACGCAGACAATTTTTGTTTCCGCACTTTAACGGAACAAATAAGTTAATCTTGCGATTAGCTTGTAGATACTAAGCACTTTTAACGAATTTCCAGATTTAGTGGTAATACAAAACAGGGCATTCTTTAGACATAATTATTAATTTAAATTTTTGGTAAATTTCGGAAAGGCGAATAGAAACTTTATGAAAATTTGACTATTTATAATTAAGGATGATGAGAGCAAAGGATTAAGAACAATAAAACATCTCTTTGTTTCACAATTGTGATTATCAGCATGACATTACTTATAATTAAAATTAGGTATTGAAATATTATTTAATTAAGATATTAATTGGGAAAGCGGGATATAATGACACTTATCAAATCATTCAAACATGTCACTGAAAGTTGCAGTTTGAATATTTGTTATACAATTATATGTTGCTGCTGCAATTTGATGTAATTCAACAGCAATGATAAACGGACATTATGAAATTTTCACCATTTAAAGTAAATTTTATTCCTAAAAGTAAATTGCCATTTTCTTTGTTTTTACATTTGATAATAACTGTTATAAAATTCATTCTTATCTTTGTTCTGCTTTGCAGATACTTTCTGAATCAAAATTAATAAAATAAGCATTAAACATTTGAAAATATTTTTTTAACTTCAGTGTGGGTATGATAATAAATCAATAAAACATGTTCAAGTCCGTTTCCATAATGCATTTATTTGAAATAATGTGTTACGTTAAAATCCTAGAATATCTTCTCACTATTTTCCTTTCTTTCTTTCAAATAATATAAGAAATGTCATACAAAAACTCTACCTGTATGCTACAAGATTATAGGCAATTTTACCAAATGAAATGAATCGTATCAAAATCACTATACAAATTTCTGAAATATTTACTGCGGAAATATCCTTTTTTATCACGAAACAGTACACACACCTGAGTAATAAGAGCTGTTCTCTGGACATTTCCGAAACTTCCACTGGGATTCTGAAGTCTCATGAACTCTTGAATGATTCCTTCGTAAGCATCTAAAAGTTCCCTGTCGTTTGGAATTAAATTGTACCCACCTTGTCGAAATTTGCAGGAAAGAGCCATCACCGCAAATGCTTGNTATAAATAAGCAAAGGAAAAATTATTTTAAAATATATATATATAAAAATCCGGGGAAAAAATATGTAATCACTTCATTAACTCACACGATTATATCAGCAAAAAGGAGTGCTTCCTAATATTGTATCACTATATCCAAAGCAAATTATATCAAAACAATAGCGTGAGAAGCGCTGAGAGAAAAAAACATTTTTTGCAAAATGAAATATAACAGAACGCATTAGGTAATGAAAATCACGTAAAAAATAGAACATTTTTTTTAACGAAAAACAGAATAAAACATTAAGCGAAATCTATAAAATGAGTAGAGAATTCAAATGAACTTACATGAAAGGGAAAATTTTCAAAAATGGATTAAAATATTTTCGTAGTTAGATTGCCAGATCGCAAAATATGAAAACAGAAGCGCAAATTCAAGTAAAAGCGTAAATAGAGGGATTATGCCTTTTTTTTTGCCGAACTGAATGCGCTTGATTTATCGGTTACCAAGGATGGGTCCAAAAATAGATGTGTGTAATATTATACTGGATAATTTTAAGGAGTATACGATTAATAAGGTTGATATTTAATTATTCAATTTTAATGATTTCAGAAAATTAAATTTTATTAAAAAAGGAGAGAGAGAGAGAAAAAAAAACATGAATTGCCTGTTTTGCGCATAATTTTAGCCAGAATTTGCCCGAAATGGATTTGCACATGGTCAAAATTATATAAAATAACTGAAAGATTAAATTAATATAAAATCTTCGTTGAAGAGCCTTTACCTCTGTTAAAAGGCAGCTCGGATGCGCTTTTGTACATTTTCAGGAGGTTGTCATATGCTTTATCCGGCCATGTTTCATTGGCGTTGCAGAGGGCCAAATAAGATGCCGGATGTGTGAAATTCTCAGACGCCACTTGTTTTTTCAGAAGTTCCACCAAGTTATGTCCGTAGAAATTTCGAGGGTTGTGACAAGTGGAGAGTATGGAGTTTATGAAGGTGCTCAGATGCTCACTTGAAATAGCATCACTGCAAGAGATAAAATAGATTTGAATTTTTTTTTTTAAATTATTATTATAAAAATAAATCTAGAATACTTAGTATTCCAATATTAAAAAAAAAATTTAAAACTATATTTTGGGCATACGCTGAACTTTCACATGACATTGTCATTATGAAAATAAATATGTAAGAATATTAGGAAGAAAAGGCTAGTTTGGACTATGTTTGTAAATTTGATAAAGAGGCTTACTAATTACTTTGATTTTTAATTCGCCACTTAAAATCTAGTGTTTAGTCTCGCAAATAATCATGAAAAGGTAACACTGTTTTTGCCAATATGCCAATATTTATCCAGATTTCTTTAGTGATAAATAACAGAAATATTCTATTTGTATACAATCGAATTTTCTCTCCTATGTTGTTAAACATAATTGTATGCGTATATTAGCGTTAAAATACATATTAGAAAATAGAACTTATATGGAATACACAACAACAAAAACATATGTTTATAAAAATATGTTTCGAAATTAAATCTATTATATTACTTTACGTATGTATTTATAACATATTTGGGAGAAATATAATAGAAAAACAATAAAAAATATTTTTGATAAAATATGGTATAAAAATATAAATACCATTGGAATATTTTTGGAAGCATCCATTTAAGGAAGAATGAATGCAATTGTAAGAATGTATTTTTGAATGTAAGAAAAAAAATAAAAGTATTTTTACCAGTCTTAGTTGATCAAACATAACTCTCTTTCCTAGTAATTATGAAGTTTCATTAAAACCAAAATATAGCTCTAAATTAATACCGAATTTTCATAAATTTATAAGTTAAATAATAACACAAATATAGATCAATTTGCTTGCTGATATGAACTATTCATTTTTAAACTTTCAACTTTTAGCTAATTTTGTTTCAGTTTTCTGTTGTCTACGTGACAGAAGAATTTTCATTCTGAAATTTCTAAAAATATTAATGCGCTTACGCACTCATACTTTTGACTGCTCACTCGCTTGATATTCAAATTCTTTGTCACTAAAGCAAAAAACGGAGTTCTTTATGACAAATACACATAACTGTTTCACAGTATAAAGGGAGCAGCCATGAAATGCAACGCTATTAAGTATTAAATTTATTTTATTAATGTCTTATAATAGCCTGAGATTTTTAATTTTACTCAAGATTTTAAAAAAAAGACAATTCTTTTTGTGTATGAACTACATTAGGCTCTAACATATCAAGCACAAGTTGACTTACCGCAGTAAGGCTATTGAAATTCGCAGTTCCCGTTGTTTCACCATAAGTTCTTCTTTGAGATTTTTGCCGTCAAATTTAGCTCCCTCAGATAAGGAGAGGGCTGTTACAGCTTTCGGTATATGGTTGATCCATTTCCAGGAAGTTGAGTTACTCTTCAACCAATTAACGGCTTGCCAATAAGCTTCTTTAACACCCTCTATTCCTTTAGTACTAGTATCTGTAACAAATATATAAATACATTTGTATATTTTTTTTCTTTATTTCCAGCAGCAGCACTTGATATACATCATTCGCTGGAGTGTAAAAACACTCCTCATAGACCCATAAGAAATAACAACAAATTAAACTGAAATTTAAAAACAATAAAACATTTGAAGCACAAAAACAATTAGAACAAAGAAACATTAAATTGAATATCAACAATAGAACTATAAACAGAAAATCAGTCTGTTAGCAGTGTCTGCAACTGCTCCCTAACATTCCAGTATCTGTTATAGATGTTGTCAGTAACTTTCTGGGAAAACCCCCTGATGATCAGCATTCACGTACAAGAAAAGTTTTGATCGCGAAATATATTAATTCTATGGAGCAAGGCAACCGTGTCCAGTTTCCAACCTAAAGGCAGCAACCACATAGCGTCTCGAGTGATCAGAGATCTTATTCAGAGTCTCCCACCGGACCTTCTCACCAATTGTTCATTTAAATTATTTTCATCACTCTTAATTATCGTGTTTTTAATTATTCTATTTATGAAAGAGTAAGGAATTTCTCTCTGCGAGCTCTGTAAAATATCAGCACCTTTTTTAGCAAGAAGATCTGCCATCTCGTTTCCATAGATATTACAGTGACAAGGAACACAATATTTTTTTAAAGACGAAATTAGCACAAAATTCTCTTTACAGCTTTTAATTTCAATAGAGTCCAAAAAATCAACAGATGTTACTGCTTGAATGTGGTCGACAGATATAACCACATTCTCTATGTCATCCATTCTTGATAATAGTTGCTGAGAAGTAGTTCTAATAGCCTCCACTTCACCACATTTGAATATAAATGAAATAAGCGTTTGATCTAACGACCGGATTTTCACATACTAGCATTCAATTTTAATGGGTCGAAGGCCTAATATTCTATATTATATATAATATTCTATATTATATTATAATCTATATTGTATAAAACGCTAATACGTACGTATGTATGTATGTATCAATAAAACAGATGATATTTCTTTTCTCGCGCTGGCAACAGTCTTCATTTTTAATTGATTGGATTCGGCGCGCAAGAGCACGTAGTGAGCAACCAGATAACAATAACCAGAGTGAGCATTATCAGGTTGTTCAATTCAGATTCATGCACTAAAAACATGACAATATTTAATTTAAACTCAATTAGGAATTAATTAATTAATTGAAGTGAGAATGCTTTAAAAGGCCGCTGTTGAATTGATATTTTTCTACTGGGAGCTACCTAAACGTCTAAAAAACGTTTAAGTGTTTGTATTGAATGCATTGAATTTTTTTATATTTCGCGTTTATTTATGCATTGAATTTTCACGCTTTAAAATGCAGAATATTAGTGAAGCAATATTTGATAATTTATTTTGCTAATATGTTTCTTATTTAGCTAATGTTTTGATTTTTTCACCATGTACAATCTAAATAGCTAATATACTTTTTTAAAAGCCAATAAGAACATTGGTAGAATTCTTCTACATAAGTACAATACTATGTCTTTGATGATAAAATACTATGTCTTTGATGATAATATATTATGTCTTTGTGCTAGAACATTGTGTTCATTGGCGAGCGAGCGCAGCAAGCCATGGTTCACGGCGTGAACCACATAGGATTGCGTAGCAATTCTCGGGGGTTGGCGAGCGTTAGCGAGCATGGGGGCGGAGCCTCCTAGTGTTTTTTAAATATGTTAATTTATGAGAACAAATGAAATTTTAAGCTACGAAATAAGGCGCAAAGTTATATTTAATCTGAATCAGAATTAATTTTCTTCGAAGTATTTAGATTCCTGGTCCTCAAAATGTGGGACGTAGTCGCAATGTGTGGAATACGGCCCAATAGTTTGGTCAGGAGAGTGGTTGATAGTTTGAACCCCTTAATGTTAATTTTACTTTTTGCATATTTCGCCAAATCTCGAGAATTAAGGGAATTGACAAAAATTTTGTTCACAATTCTAAAATAAGTATCTAAAGATATATTCATGCAAAAAAAATCACTTTTCATAATTATTCATTAGAGGATAGCAGAAAAAAATTGATTTGTAAGGAACATAAATTGTGCTCTCATTTTGAAGAATGTAATTATACATAGCAAAATACGAAATTTGAGCTTAGAAAATCGAATATTTTCTGTGCAATCATTTTCTTAATTAGTATTTTTGAAAAGTTCGAATGAATACCGATTAAATAAATCGAGTGAAAATCCGATCATTAGATCAATAGTTAGAAATGATGATCCTTCCACGCATTCTCGTTGGAGAGATTAATCACAAAGGCTGTAAAGCGGTATTAAAAAGTAATCCTATGCTTTTACTTTAATACGCAACTTTCTTATGTTAAATATATTTAATTAGTTTATTAAATTGCTTGCAACTATTTAAAATTAAACATCACTTTTATTTTTGTTATAAGGTTCGGGAAAAACTGTGGCCAGTTTTATCCGAAAATATTCTTTTTTAAGTTTTTAAAATGGAATCAGTTTGAATGAATAATATCTCGTTCAAAAAAGTATCGACATCATATGTCATTTGGAACTAAAATAATAAATACAAAATTACAAGAGGTTATTAGGAATTAACTTTTCGCACTATTGCTAGTATTCAATTAAATTATTAATGCATAGTAAAAATAGATAATTCCTAGCAACAGTTATGGGAAAAATATTTAGAGTCGAGCTATCTTAATTGATAGAACATAAGTTCAAAATACATAAATATGGGCAAGTGGATTCTTTATTTCTTTTCGATAGAGATATAATTTGTTTAAACTTATTCACTTTTAAAAACTTCAAAGAATATTTTCGGACCTACCTAAAGTTTTTTTTTTTAAATATATATATAAATTATTTTATAAATTTGTCTAGATGAGCATGAATGTACAACTGGTAAATTTACACATTTTGTGAATGATATTTTCGAGTGGTAGAAAATTTTAAATAACCATAATATTTTTTTTATATTTTTCAATCACTTTAACGCAATTTAGCATGAACAAATTTTTTTATATGTTTGTGCTACGTAAAATTTGAGGCGTTTCTTGCGTCCAATTGCTGTGAAGCGAGGAGGTATCGGGTTCGAATACCTTTACCAATTACCACTGGTTGTATCTTTGTGTCTCATTCTCTAATTTATGCTATCTGTTCTTCTGTTTGAAAAAGATTTATAAACCGCTTTTTTTTTCTTTCGTTGAGCACACAAACATTTATTTATTTATTTACTCTCATATGCATGGGGATAAATAAATAAACAACGACTCGATGATTGTATATATAACGCTGATTTAAATCAAACTTATTAAACGAAAAATTAAATATGTTAGCCTTATTTTTGCTAACACTGAGGCAAATCTTCTTTAAAAAAACTTGAACGTTTACCATTGCATTTGAATATCAATATAAGTAATACTAAATAATTTAGCTATCAATTTCTCCCTTTTTTTAAAATCTGTTCTTAAGCGACGATGGTGGAATGTTATTTTGTTACCTTTGCTGAAACATATAAAAGAAGAAAAGATATTTAAAAAACATTTATTTATGCGTACCGATGTTGTAGAGTATTTCAAAATTTTCTCGACTAAATGGATTAAGATAGTAGGAATCAGCATAGAAATGAACAGTGACATTTGAGTGAACAGCTATTGGTTTCCTTTCATCATTGTTGTCACACCACTTCACTTGTTCTCCCGTTCTGTTGGCTATGATGGTCAGGTAAACGTAATAACAAGACTAAATAAATAGATAAATGAATAAATAAATATATGAATAAATAAATAATAAAAACGTTGACTAACAAGGAGATAACAGTATGGAATTTTGATGGACCTAATACGAAAAACGCGTATTATTAAGTATTAAATACTTAAGTATTGTTAAATACATGAAATAAATAGAATGAATTGGATCGCTCACGTGATTCGAATGAGTGACGACAACACAATAAAAAAGATACTGCTTTTTAGACCCACTGGAAAAAGAAAGCGGGGAAGGCCGCGGTTGATATGGGCTGACTCAGTGGAGTCTGATTTTCTCTCAATTAATGAAAAAAATTGGAGATCGAAGATAAATTGGAAGTCGTCCTGGAGAAATCTTCAGAGGAAGGCATTGGCTCACATAGGGCTGTCTGGCCAACTATGATGATGATAAATATGAAAAACGCAAGGCATCTTCGAGAGAAGTGGGATCATTTTTTTAGTGGTAATAAAAATTTATGAGGAAATTGATAAATTGATTGTTTTTTTTTTTTTTTTTTTTTTTTGGTCTGATAAAAATAAACTCTTTATTCTTTTTTAGCCAAATTAAAAGAAACAGTTTTTAAAATTTCTACTTCTATTTATTATTTTCTCTCCTTTTGTTTTTATGATTGTTATGAAGTTAAAAGGTTGTTAAAATTATAACAATTTTAACTTGCATCAGTCCTAACTTGGTATCAGTCCTACACTGGACTGATAGTAAAACACGATTCCCAACAGACCACCGAAGTGGTCGGGTCGGTGACTATTTAGATTAGACTGCGTATGGTCCTAAAATTCGCGGTATCGGTCTCGGCCTTGCCGTACAGTGATTGACTTCGCACGCAGATCATCAAGCTACTGAAGAGGGATTGTCTTTCCCTCTGTAGAGGATCAATATTGTCATGACAGATCTTAGGATGATCCTAGAATGTTTCCCAGGCCGTCGCCAATATCCCACTGTGAAGCACTATTGCGACGTAAATGAAGTAATACTACTACTGGAGTGTCATCAGATACAGAGCTTTCGTTAAAATCTAAACACTTGAACTTGTAAGGGAGTGGTTAAATTTAAGTTAACGATAATATTCTGGCTGTAGCAGTTAGGAAACGTTTGATATTTGTATCGTTAAAAGACACTGAATTTCAGCTTAAACACACATTTTCGGGCAATTCGTTTTTTTTTAACACGTATGACATCTGTCGATTTTCTTCAAGTTGCGCATGTCAAGCTTTGTGTATTCTTTAAAACTCATATAACATACGCCAAATGCGCGCTCTTTTAGCCCGATAGTGAGCAACAGTAAGTACCCGAAATTACTTGACTTGAAACTTATATGCGAAACAGTCATCACACGCTCTACACGCTTCCGTATTCATTTGTAGCTTTTATAGGAAATTGCCATTGTTGTTACGTTTTTATATGTACCTTAAAAAGATTTTTACGAGTTTTGTCATAAGCTAAAATAATTGCTGAAATAAAGGTTGTGAGCAATAGCACTTTTTTTTGCTCTTACTTACAAAAATTTTATGTCACGTTGATTTATAAAGAAAATTGAAACAAAATTTCAGGTATTAAGTAAACTGTTTTAACAGTAATCCCAATTTTAATTCAGAATAGAACTATTTATAATCGGTTGCCATAAAGCAGAGAAATTAATAAAATATTACAGGAAGAAAAAGTGACGTTGCTATGATAAAAGAAGAATGAAATTGCAATTTATTGAAGTAGAGAGGTATTAAGAGTAAGTTTTCCCTTGAGAATCAGACATAGAGAAATAAAATATATGAGATTGTTCTTTTTAGTGTCACACAATTTTTATTGACTTGATTTAATTCTGCATTTTCCACTCTACTTTATTCAACATTCAACACAAGATTTATTTTATTTATGAATGGTGGAGAGCAAATGTTAACTTATATTATTTTTTGCTGTATTGATTACTTAATATTTTTACATTTTCTTTGAAAAATACTTTATTTATTGATTATAATACTTTACATTTTTGTCCAATTTCCTGTTATTCTTTAATTCATGCGTAATTATATAAAAGTAATAAATATCAGAAAATACCTTGCTTTCAAAATCCAGGTGTTTCAGCTCAATTTCCAATAAGTTATTATCAGGATTCAAAATATTCCAACATTTGTAATATCTGCTACTTCTCGGACCTGGGTAGGTTTCGGTAATGTTGCCACTCAGTTCTTTTAAATTCAAGCATTGAGATTGAATTGGCCCTGTAGAAGTAATTTAAGTTTAAGAACACTGATTTTAATCGTTTGCTGATATTTATCGTTTTGTCAATGACTTGTTTTAGCGATTTTAATAGCCTTATGACGCAGAATTTTTATTAAACATGTTTTTCATACTTCTTTCATTATTTTGTATTAAATCAGAACATTGAAATATTATTTTTAATCTATGGTTATGTAAAACAGCATGAAATATTGGTGTCTTATTCTGAACTAAAATCTTCCAAACACGATTCACAATAATTTTCCAAATGTTAACTTATTTGCAGTTATTTAAATCTAAAGGTAACAGTTATTCATCATTGAAATTTAGCTACTTTACAAAATCAATTGTTGGTGAATTTTCGAATATGAATGGAAAAAAATTCAAACTACTTTTTATGTGAATTTTATATTTTAATACAAAATAATTCCGATAACCTGACATATTTTTTAGTAAATATTACACTGTTTTTAAAATAAAAAAAGAACAAAGTGTATGTTTGCTTTTAATTAGAGCATCAGTAAAATCTATATATATACGAGACACCGATGTCCCATCTGCATCAAGGGGTAAATAATATAAAAGCGTGAAGTTGAATTATATTTTTGTGAATTTTTGAGTGAAACAAGAAACATACAATTTCATATTGAGTAAAACATACATTTCCACATTGGCATTAGGAGTCTACTGTTTATCGTGCTAAATCCGATTCCAATTTATTTTGGATTAAAATTTCCCCCAAATACGAAGAAGTTGTTAATTTAAAATTAAGTAATTCTGTATTTTTTATGAATGATTAAATCAAAAAAGCATTTCATTTAAAATTAAATTTAGTATAATAACTGTTGAAAAAATAAATTCATAAAATATATGATTAAACAAAATATTGAAATTGTGTAAAACTACCAAAAGATCTACACATCAATATCTCACATGCATACTTGAACATAAATAAACGTCTTATGACACAAAAAAACATTGTGAGTATTCATGAACAAGAAAGCTATTTTAAATAGTACATTAAATTCATTTGCATACTTAGTGCCGCAACTTAGTACCTTCGTTAAATAAATTAGGCTGATAAATTTCATAGCTAAACGAAATTCGACAGTTTTTTCTTTGAGTTCTTAATTAAATCTAAATTTTTAGGTGGGTAATTTTTTGCCAATGAAATAATAGTTAAAACCGGAGTCGTTGAATGCAATATTCATCTATGCTAAACCTAGCTATCCATTATACATAATTTATAGCTAAGTAACTCAATTATGCTTTTTTTTGTCCTCAAAATTGTCCACATTTAGTGGTGGTCACAGTTTTTGTAAATTCAATTTATTAAATCAAAAATAAAAAAGTAAAATAATTTAATATCACTTAATATAAAGATAAATGTCATGTCAAAGGCAGGAAGATTTGGAAGTATGCAAATTATACGTTTAGAAATTTTATTCATTGATACACCTGTTCACAGATTCATTTCTTATATTCTCATGCTCCATTCTTTTACTTATTCCCTCAATATATGAGGAATTATTCTACTATAGCATTACGAAAACTGAATAAAAATGAACGATTCTTATAGTAACGGAAAATATTTAAAAGAAATTAAATAGCGAACAAACCTTTTTTAAAGCAATTAATTGAAGAATTAAAAATTTAGAAAAACCCAGAAAAATGCAATATATTTCTGGAAAAAAAATATTATTTATATCCAAAACTGTTGTATACTATGCTTGTAAAGGAATTGATACCATCATAAAATGTATCCCAACCAAAATTATTAAGAGATTGTTTAGCACAAAATGGGGTTTTCAAGTAAAATAGTAATAATGATAATATTTTTAAAATCTGCGTTCTTCAAAAGGACTAAAAGACAAGAAACTTATATATTTGTCAGATTTATTAAATGAAGAATTATTTTAATATAACACTCTGTACACTACATATAAAATCCACTATTATTGCAGTTATGAAAAATATTTTTTCTTCAAAAAATTTTTAAGCTGAACAAATTTTTAGTAAATAATAGTCTTGAAGATAAGGAAACGTATGTGGGCACCATTGAAAAACATCTAAACTATAACATTTTTAAATAAAAAAATTATGATTGAAATCTAAAACTAAATAATACTTGTAATAAGCAAATGTCATCATCATCCATGCGAGATTACGTTTACGCAAGAGAGGAAATTTTCTCATGTTTTGGACTCAATTTTGGATATTTTGGTACAAAATAGTAATAATCATAAAATTTTTAAAATCTATGTTTCACTAAGAAACGAGAAAATTTTATGTATGTCAGAGATAGGGTCTATCACATTTGAAGGACATGGTGAGAAACATTAATTGGGGAAGTAACTTTTTTCGCTCTATGTCTGACAAATTTTGGACAATTTTCTCCTTTTAAAATTACTTGAAACTTGTAAAATGTTTATTACATTTTACTATTTTAGTTTTTATATTTACTTTTGTCTTTTTTTATTCCAAATTCTAGCTTAAGATTCTAGTACAAAGATGTAATTAAAATTTAAGCACTCTAGCAAGCCAGAATGTCATCCTAGTTCCAATTTTCAAAAAAAATGAGATAAAATAAAGGTAAATTTTATTGTTAGTGCACAGAAAACGATTGGAAACTCGCATTGTCATCCCGTGTGGATTTTCAGTGGAGATTTGAGTTCTCTAGCTAATCAGAAAGTGGATAAAAAAAAAATTTGACTTCAATATTTCACTGTTCATAGACACGAAATTGATTAATGGGAACGCGGGAATGATAATAATGTTTGTTTTAAAAAAATTAAAATAATGCAATTTTTAATATGATAAATTAACTAAGCGTTGTTAACGCCGAAAAAGCAGTCGTTAGGGTAGCAAATAATATTTAATAATTCATTAAACAAGCGCTAATAAATTATCTCTTCAAGAGTCAATTTTCCGAGACTAACGTAGTCGTATATTTTTAAAAAGTTTAAAAGTTTCAAAGTAATAAATAAAATGTTAAAAGACAAAAGATTTTTGCAAAATATATATGCATTATATTTAATGCATGCAAATATGTATGCATTAAAGTAAAATAAGAAAAAAAATATAATACTTTAGAAACTAACTTACAGGCTTGGTACAAACATTGAGTAGCACATTAAAATATAGAATAGGAAATAAAATTATAAAACTTTAGAAACTAACTTACAGGTTTGGTATAAACATAGAGTAGCAAACAGTAAGGTAGAGACGAAGCCCCACATATTTCTAAGATAAATTCTATAGAAATTGAAAAGTCAGAATCCAATTCTCAAATAACATTAGCGGTCTTATATGAAGCGTCTTATCTTCAATGAATTTCATTATACTTCATATTTTTGCCCGGTTTTAAGAATGATAAGGACATTTCAAGATTTACCTGTTCAAAAAGATAAGATATTCTGGGAATTCTTTTTTTTTTATCTAAATGCATTTGTTATACAAACTGCAAAAAAGGCCAGCCAGAAGGAAAAACAAGAAATATCCACCACAATGTCCAAAGATCGTTGAGATAGTAAAAAGGATCGTAAAAAAATACAAATAATCTTTGAAATATTAAAATAAAAAGTATAGATGCAATTATATTTGTGTTATATTACGAAGCATTTTATAATTATAAAGATTTTCGGGTTTTAATAGCTTTTCTATTATTTCTGGAAAAAAACACTCTAATTTTTAAAGAAAAAAACACAGTCCACTTGCAATGTTGCACTTTGCACAGTTGCACTTGCATTTAACTAAGGCGCTTCATTCAATGTTATTTTTCAGAACAATTGTTAATTCAGTACAAAAAAAGAGGTTCTGGTGATATATTTCTGGTTTTAAAAGTTAAAAGAAAAAAATAGTGCGTGGAGTCCCTCCGCGCGGAAGAAATGAAATTTCATAATGTGGAAATGAAAATAGGAAGGGGTAGAAATTGATTTTTAGTGAAATCATATTGTTTCTTTAAGACAAACTTTATTAACAATGCTTACAATTCACAACTGTTCGCATCTTTTAATTATCATT